ATCTACCTTACGATTCTTTGACAAATACAAGTTGTATACTATTGCACTGACGAGAAAGTTTCTTATCCACTGATGAAAAAATGCTCTTTTCAGAATATTTTTATTGAAGAGACTTCATTTTGTTGCTACACTGCTTTGTTTATGAATATAAAACAAAAATAATTTACATATGATTCGAATAATGAAAGTGTTTCCTATCTTCTTGCCAATATAGATTTTCTTTGAGCAACTTCCCATTGCTGAGTCATAAGAGTCAACATTTATCCCATTACCTTTGCATCTAATGCTATATTAAAAGCTGTTGCTTAAAGATCTCAAAATGATGTTTTCAATTTAAAATAAATAAATAATGAGAAATCTAAATAGAATTCTCAATTAATTTAATTATTCATGAAATTTAAACGATTTTATTAAAATGCGATAGCTAATATATTGAATTATAGAATTATGAAACTAAATACTTATGAAATGAAAATGTCGAAAAAATATCAAAACAAAAACCAATGACTAGTTATTATTTGATTAATTTGATACACTAAATTCAACATAAGATAAATTCATATGATAAGTAAGAAATATATTCTAAATTGTTATTAGTTTCTAGGAAGGTTTTTTAATTGGTTTCCATATCGGTCAGTTAGTACGTCAGATTAGATCATTAGCCAAATAAATAGTTCTCATGTTTTTTCCGACTTAATAAACAATAAACAAAACGTTTTAGTTATAAGAAATTAGAAAGAAAAAATTGATGAATTTTACTACATTTGAATAATATTTCAAATGATAATTGTCAAGTTTTACTAATAATAACAATGAATTCTGATTATATATTATACTTGTTTTATAATAATGTATTAAGATCCTCTCAGTATTAATTTCTCAACAAAATGTTCAGGAACAATCGGCTCTAATGAAAGAGACTTGTGGTAAAAATCTCAGAATAATATGCCTAATTAGATCGAATTTCTGGCTTGTTTTTCTACTGTCGAAGAAAATTGAAAGAACTCCATCGTTATAAAGAGTACAGAGTTTGGACTGCTTTCAAACTAAAACTAGCTTTTGTGTACAATTTTTCATCGGACGGAATTTTTGAAATTTCCTTCTATTCAATTATTACAAACATTTTAATGGACATGTTGTTCAATATAAGCATAACAAAGCAATTAAATATGAAAGTTAGCTCTGTTCCGAGCCGGATAGAATTTATTTCAATTTGTTGCCGAGAAACCAAGTTTTTGGAAAAACACTTAAGAACTTTAAGAAAGAATTTCTTCATCTGAATCTGGAGAAAAAACCATTCTAGAACGGTACATTCACAATATGTTTGTTGACATTTATAGGCTATCTTTCTGATTATTTAAATCATTTTCATTTGACTAAGTGTTGGTTTTTTATTTATTTTTGTTTAAAATGCTGTGACGTTTCGTTTCTAGTTTACAACTTCATCAGTTATAAAAATTTATAAGATTTTTTCCTGATAATTGTAATTGATAAAAGCAAATCTTAAATAGTTGAATATAGTTTAACTCAATCTCGACATAAAAATTCAATTAATTTTGATTGAAACATTTCAACATTAAATTTTTATTTTATTTTAACTAAATAAATCTTAAAGGTTGATTATCAATTTAAATTTATTTTAATTATTTATCAGAAATATTTCTACAAAAACTAATCAACTCATCGAAATCAAATTGGTTAATATTACATAAATGCATAAAAAATAGGATGTGAGTGTGGCTAGAAAATAGAATACCCGCCCACACCCATCCTTCAGACTTGTTTACTGTTGCTATCCATACTTACAGATATGATAACTTCATCCGGATAAACCAGAAGATTTGATGCTTGTCTTTCAAGAGAGGAACTAATCGAAAGATCTGAAATATTTATAGAATACTATTCTCGATAAGTTCTGTCTCTATATAAAGTTTCAAGTCGAAATTCGAAAATCATTTTTTCTGATACTCCTGAGAGGGAACACAGCATTCATTTAAAAACGTACCGTAAAAATGCAATATCTTCGCACAAGCAAGCTATCAGTCCGAACTTTCTTCAAAATATTCATAATTTCTTTGTACCTACATATTGCACATTGTCTCAATGCAAAAGCGGTTGATCAGTTGAGGATCTTGCCTCGTAAATAATTTATATATAATTGATGTTTAGATTATGTGTTGTTTTGTCAAACCTTGAAATAACCCTTTCATTTCAATTTCAACTAAGAACTCATTCTTTTTCGAAATACATTTATATAAATAATTTTCGATATAAATATAATAATACGAAATAAATCATTTGTGTCATTTTGTTGAAAATTAATATATAAATTCAACATGTTATTTGTATTTGTATGTTGGTCATAGGCATTATTGCAAGAAAATAACTTAGTTTCAAGATCTCTTTCGATCAAAAATGTCAAACTGAATATGAGATCAATATTCCTGTTGTATCGTTAGTCATCAATTGATAACATTTGTTTTGAAGAATGTTTCATAAAGTTGAAACCGTTGTTTTGAGTTTCAAATAGATGACACAATAGAAAATATCTTACGAGATGTCTTTAAAACTATTTATGATTATTTTCTTTTTCATAAGCTTAAAACATATCGCTTTTTTAGCTGTAACAATACAAATAGCATGATTCAAAATTTTATCGATAAGTTTCGTTATTGTACTAATGTAGTTGAAATGCTTTTCTTTACGATTTGTACTATGTAGAATTCTGCCGTTTTTATTTCTTATCACAACAATGTCAAAGAAAGGTAAACTTTTTCTTTTGTTAGATTAAAATACTCATTACATATACTTCTATAAGTTACATTTTGAAGCATTTGTGCATCAATATTTGGTGTATATTATTTGCTTTTCGTTGTTAATAATATTTGTAAAATTAATGGTAAATATTTAGGTACTAATTGTGAATTTAATGATTGTTCTTCAAGTCCTACCATCTTTTCAATATGAAGACAAACAATTGATTCGACTACCGGTAATACAAATATATATAAGTGTACGAAGAATTTTAACGATGTTAATGATATTGTATTTGGTTTTAATAAATTATTCCTAATAGTCTATATTGATTGAATAAGTAAATAATTTCCAGCTAATGTACGATCTATAAAGCCAAGAAAATTATTAATATGAAAATGTATCAAGATGATGTATAGTTTCATCATGAATTAAAAATTCACGAAAATTATTTAGAATTGTTTGGCTAAAATAAAATTAGAGATATTATAAAACCATAGAAATTTTAAATTCAAATAAATGGTACTATCATAGAAGATAAATTCAATTATGGACCAAACTAAACGGAAAGGACGATTGATATTCTAGAAAACAATTTAAACTTTAGAAAAATTTCATGAATAAAAAAAAAACGAACTTTTCTGTTTTCTAATGCTCGAAATGTAACAATAAATGGATCAATTAATCGTAATTCAAATAATGATACAACAATAAAATTTGTTAACTGTGTTGAATAAATATCCAAAAGTGATTGATCCTAAAAAGTAAAGTGAAATCTAAGATTATCGAAGAAAGAAAAATAACCTTTGATGATGCCATAGTAACATGTAATTGTAAATGAATAAGAAGTCCATGGGCAATTTGTCGTGAAATACAATTCCATTAATCACCTTCATGTTGAATACTATCAACAATAATATCATATACAACTAAGTCTAATACTGCTAAAACTTTAAAAAAAAATAATTCGAACAATAATTTATTTTTTTTGAAAATATTTTTTTTCTTTTCTTCTTATCATACGTTGCAAGTCATGTTTACTTGCTTTGTGACAACATAATAAGAAATTTCGTAAGAAATTCTATTCAAAAATAAGCGATAGATCAGAAATACAAGAAATTTTATCAATCTTTACATTCGTGTCGACATATTTTTTTTTTAACATTAATTTTTTAGTCAAATAAAAACTATGAAACCGAGTAGATCTAATTCGTGTTTTTTTTTGTTTATTTTATTCTGGTATTGCAGTATTTTCTATGGATTGATATATGACATAATCCAAATGAATAAATCATCGGTAGTCGAATAGTTATTATATGAATATTAGGGTGTGTGGTGTGAGTGTGAATGTTAATATTTTCTTCAACTCACACTCTACATATATATAAGATGAATTTTTTTTTTCGACGACGACGACATGATATTGATGTCCGTCAAACGAAAAAAAAGAATTAAAAAAACATACACGTATCATTATATAAAAATTGTTCATCAAATCAATTAAAACACACGAAGAAACATCAATTCACGTGTGTGATGTGATTGATGAAAAATCAATCAAAACCGTTGAATATTAAACAATGAACCATAGTGTATATAAAAACATGGATGTATCATCATAAAACAGTACATTCGCGTTTTCTCAATATGATGCATTACAATGTAATTATATACCCGGGTACATTATTTATTATTATTATTATTATTATTATATTATTTACAATGATAATGATATCATTATATTTTAAATAAGGTAAATTATTTGTCTTTATATTTAACAATACTTTTTTTTTAGATAAGCTACGATACAATACAACATTGAGAGGTAGGAAAAAAATTTTTTTACATGTTGAGTTGAGTTGAGATAATTTATTTCAAGAAAAAATAAATATTGTCAGTTATTATCAGTATGAGTACTTTTGAGATGAGTTGAGTTGAGTTATGAATGTTATTAGTGTGGGTCAGAGAACTACGTTTTCTGATTCAATAGGGACAGGAACTTTGCCATAGCGAAGCAGTGTAGTACTAGGGAAGGCCTCTATGTGTCGTTGGTCCCTACCGTGTTAATACGGCATACCTTCGGCCATTGCCCTACCAGTCCGGCGTGGTCCGCCTGTGGTACCTATGACATTGACAAGGGATCTCTCCCTTGTCGCGCGCGCGCGTAAGTCACAGTGAGCCAAGAAAAATCGAAACGATTAGCAACGGGAGTAAATTTATTGAGCAAGCGAAAAAAAAAATTACAGTTACATTTTCTTTTTTACATTGTCAATTGAGTTTTTAGCTGTTTTAATATTAGGATGATTAGGTGGAAGTGATTTTTGCCAGATAGAAAGTGCCTTTTCTAAGAATGAGAGTGCTTTTGAGTAGTCACCTTTGCCGAAATACGCCGTACCGATGTTGTTGTAGGAAGCAGCCAAATCGGGATGATTCGGAAGCAGAGCTTTTTCTCTTATTTTAAGTGCTTTTTCGTAAAATTTAAGTGCTTTCGAGTAGTCACCCATGTTCTTATACACTCCACCGATGTTGTTGTAGGAAGTGGCCAAATCGGGATGATTCGGAGGCAGAGCTTTTTCGCCGATTTTAAGTGCTTTTTCGTAAAATTCAAGTGCTTTCGAGTAGTCACCCATGTAGTTATACGCAAGACCTATGTTAGTATAGGTAGGAGCCAATGAAGAATGATCTTCCGGAAGAGTTTTTCTCTTGATTTCGAGTGACTTTTCATAAAATGAAACTGTTTCTTGGTATTGTCCTTTATTATTTTTTAAGAATCCAAGCATATGATAAATATGTGCTCTGTCACTGTCGCTGGAAGCGTTCTTCAGTAATCCATTGTAGAGTTCTTCAGCTTGATTGTAGTGACCCATTTCGAGCATTAGATGGCCCAACTGGTGCCATCGTGTAGACCCCAAGAGTTTCCCTTTGATGTTTTGCATCAGAGCAGCCAATTGTGGATCATTGTCGCCAGTAAGACTCAATTGAACTTCCCACAGACGACTATTGCTAATTGATTGTTTGGTATCATCGACACGAAAAATAGTATGCATTGAAAAGAGGATTTCCTTTTCAGTTTCAATAGCACTGTATTCGTCGATAAGTGCAAATGGAGTAGTCGTCGCCGATATTGTATTTGGATCAATTGTCATGATGAAAAGAACACCGACGATGTCTTTATTTTTCTGCATTGTACGTTCTACGAATCCCCTAGCGATCTGTTGTTTTGTACTAGTTGACAAAAAATTGTTAAATGAGAGCAGTCCACCTTTCGTGTCCATTAGATGCTGAAAATCTTGTTTAGTGAGCCCTTGACCACGATAAACAACAAATTTTTTCGTAAAAG